GTATGTGTGTGTGTGTGTGTGTGTGTGTGTGTTACTGTGCACCTGGGGACAGTGTGCACAGTTAACAAAGAATGGACATAACCTTCATCTCAGATCACAGAGGTGATCGTGATCCAGGAGCTGTTTCCCACTTGAATAGTCAGAGTACAGAAGCTATGAAACCCCAGAAGCTGAGTGCTTTCTAACGTTAAACTCAAAAACCTCCAGTAGTTTCACGGTCAGATAACTTACAAACCATGCGAGATGTTTATATGAACTGAAAGCTCTTCAGAAAGTATGGAGAAAAAGCACACTTTTTTTTTTTTTTTTTTTTTTTTGGATGAAATCTCCCCCTTTTGTGGGGAAATCATGCTTGAGGAGTCATGAGGAATTTAGATTTATTTTTTTTTTCTCACTGGTTTCCTACTTCCTTTTTTAAATAGCCGATGTCTGGAGTGTCATATTTAAATCCCCTCTTCAGCTGACTGTGTCTGGGATGCAGTGAGTTCAGCCAGACCATTTGAAAAACGGATGGCTCTAGGACCGGAGGCCTCGTGGAGCATACATAACTATGTAATCCCATTAAAAATGACTGACTGGTCAGTTCTGGGGCCCTATCCCCTGCCACTGTGGACCCAGCACCTTTCAGTTGCTGATGAGGTTGGACAATAACAATATTTATTTGTTTGTGTCAATTTATCTAGCAGGTAGGATTTGAAAGAGTCTTTTGGTGTTGCAAGAAGAAAAGGCTTTCCTGCGAGATTTGTATCCTTAAACTCCCAAGGGATTTCTGGGAACCCTCCCCAAGCTTCCCCCACCAGAGAAGATGCCTTTGTAGCTGTGCGTCCCCATGCCAGAGTCCTCTGCCAGCCCATGGAGGTCGTGCTCTTCTTTAGGCTGCGTTTTTGTGTGCATTTGCTAGGTTCTGCACTTGCAGAGAGATTAACGGGAAAAAAAAAATCATTCGAGTCTATACAAATTTATCACAGAAGATGTGTGTGTGGTGGCTCCAGGCCAAAATTACTTGCTAAAAAAATGAAGAGCCTCCGAGCTTGATAAACAGAAGGGTATTTCCTGAGGACAGGAAGGAAATGCCTTGACTTTGTCATACCTTCACTTCCCCACAAGCTTTGACGGTCTAATTGGTTTTCTTAACCAGATGGAAGTGCCGGAAACCCTGATTGCCCATTGTTCCCATTTCGTGCATTCAGCATTTACTGTCTTCTCTTCGCCATTCAGCTCTTCCTCCTCCGGAGGAGCCAGCAGGATACAGATTACAGCATGATTCTATTCTCCTGTAACCTGCATTTTAGGCAGCTATCAGCGTCAATCCAACTATTTATGCTGTTGTAATCCTGCGTGAAGTGAGGCACTCGAATGTTATGTCTGAGAGGACGTAACTCAGCTGAAATACGGGAGCGTCTGCGTATAAGAGAGCCAAGTCTACTTTCCTTTCCATCTTACCCCCTCTATCTGTCTGAAAAATGTAAACTAGTCAAACCTGCCCTAGTTTGCAGATTTCACACTTGATTCTTCCTGTAGCTCATCATAGAGTAATCATGTTGTATTTACAAGCTAATAACACATCTCGAATGCTCAACCATGTGGTTGCACTCTAAGTAAGAGCTTGATGGTTGCAGTAGGTCAGAGCAAGGCTGCTCCAGCTCAGCACCTTGTCTCTGGCCCCGGCCAACGACAGATACTTAGGGGTAAGATATAAGATCATAACAAGCACACCCCAGTTGGTACCCCCAGCTCTGACGGCAGGGACACCTTTGGATTTGACAGCCCTGGAGAGGCTCCCCCCTCTCCCCTCCCCATATTGTCTCATCTTGTTTGAATCTACTGATACTTTTTAAATTGACACCCACCTGTGACGGTGAGCTCCACAGATTCATTATGTAGTGAATAAAAAGGCACTTTCTTTGGCTCTAAAGTTTCATTTGATGTCTCCTAATTTTGGGGTTACAAACAATATTCAGCAATTGTCCCCTCTTCAGCACGACACTCATCCTCATTTCATCATACCCCTTTTCTCCGTCATCTCCTTTCAAAAGTGACAAATCCTGGTCTATTTTCTCTCCTTGGATAAAAGCTGTTCCGTACCTTTGATCATAATTTTTGCCCTTCTCTGTACCTTTTCCTATAATGTTTCCTTTTCTGAGATGGGGATGGGAAAACAAGAGCTACATGAAGAATTCAAGATGAGTGCAATACGGATTTAAAGTGGTAATGAGGGGTTTTGTTCTATCCTCTATTTCTGTCTCAGTAATTCCTATGATCCTTTTTTGCTTCTGTGACTACCGCTGAGCACCAGGCTTCAGAGCATGCTAAAACGTGGAACCTATTCTTTATGACTAGTTTCATGTCTTTTAATGAACTCTCCTAATCTGGAGGAAAAGACACAGTCCCTACCCATCCACACCTGGAACGATGCCTGAGGTGCCTGTCTCGTAGGAATGGGAGGATATTCATGCTCTGAGATTTCAGTGAGCAAACAGCTTGCACTTCCTTTCGTTAGATGCTTTTCGGGCACTTAAACTTTAGCCCCATGCAACAGCTGTGTGGGGTAGGTAAGAATCTCTAAATTAATTTCACAGATGGAGAAACTGAGACAGAGAGATTTGTCTAATTCACTTAGAAACTGTCACAAAGCCAGGAACACACCCTGAGAAGACGACCAGTCTTGCCTTCCACTGGCTGCTTCAAGTGAAATGGCTGCTCCAGGGACAGTCCTCACCCAGGGGTCCATGGCCACATCATGTCTTATGTTACTACCCAGCAGTCTGCAGTCTTTATCCTGCTGGGGAGAAACAAGAGTCCCTACTCCAGCACGTTGGTGGGCAAAAGTACATCATCCTGTCCTATCCTGTCCTGTCCTGTCTTATCCATAACTACGCTTTCAACTTGTAATACTAGTACAGTCGACAGCAAAGTAAGCCATGAAGTACTTTTGAACTGTCCTATTTTGCCTCATATCATTTCAGACTGGATCACGTGCAGTAAATCATAGAACTATAGGATGGTTTGGGTTGGAAGGGACCTTTAAAGGTCATCTAGCCCAACCTCCCTGCGATGAGCAGGGGTATCTTCGACTAGATCTTTCCACCCAAATTCTCAAGGGATGCATTGTCACAATGTTTTGGTGTCAGAGGTAGATGATGACCTGTGGGCCTGATTCTGGAACATGCTTAGTGTTCTCAGGACCTCAGTGCAACTACTTGGGATTTCACGCCACCCGGCCTTCTGTTCCTAATCAGTTTTCATAAGAAGGCCTGAATGGTTCAAGGAGCTGACAGTGCATTATGAAGCCTTTCAAATAGACATAGCTGGCTCAGATCAAGCACAGGTAATGACTGGAAGTTATTACTATTGACTATCAGGCTGTGAAATAAGTTTTGTGGAGTAAGTCAACAAGCACACTTATCACAAACTGTTCTCGCTCATGGACGCTCTCTTAACCAACCTCGGCAGCGAATGCATCAGCTAAATGGGCACAGATACTGAGATGCAACCTCAGTTGTTCTTCTGCTAGAGCAAAACATGCATTGGCAGGGAAGCTTATGAAACTTTGTACTGAAAAAGATGCTGCTACATTTTTCCTATGAGGAAGGAGCCTGTCAGCTTGCACTTTGGGGTTTTACCTGCAATAGTGCCAGATGAAAGAAAAATGTCACTGCTAGCATATGTTGCCTTGACATACCTGACTACCTAAAACAGGGAAAGCACTCTGTGAGCTCAACAACTGTAAAAAGAGCACATTAGAGAAGAAGGAAAATGCTTTTCATGTGGAGAAGAGTAATTTCTCCTGAGAGTTCTTAATTTCTTAGGTAGCTCTGGAACAATACATTGGTGCAGACCCTGTCCCACATGGTGCAAACTTTCCCTGTGGACCTTGCAGCAACGTGATCCCTCTATCTAAAATACCAACAGCACGGCATTATATTTTTACAGACAGTGAGAAGGCCTGGTGAACGCAGACTGCATAGTCCATGCAAGGGGTTAACCAGAGTAAACGTGTGGAAAATGTCAGATACATACCCGAGCACCCATAAAACTCCTCTCCATGTGGGAATGAGCCCCAGGAATCCCACCACCCACTGCAGCAAATGGGTCCCTCTGATGGGGAGAGGGCTCCTGGTAACAAACTGCTTGCTCTCTCTGCGCTGTCTGTCCTAGAGCTCTGTTATAAAAGCCTTGATAATACCACCATTGCACAAAACGCAAAATCAAAGGAAAAAGACTCCAGCTACTCATGCTGTTTGTAGATAAATTAAACAAACCCAGAAAAGGTTGAGACAGCTGGAAATCTGACAGGAAAACTGGGTTTTCCAGGGAGAGCACTAGAGCCAATTTACAGTTAATTACTGTGATTTGGAACAGCTCTGTGAGTAAATACCAGTCTCTGATTGTCCAAGTAAGGAACATAATTGTTTCCTGAACTGTGTCCATTGTGTATTTAAAACGTTGTCAGCCTGTTCCTTTCTCAAACTCAGAAGAGGTTTCATTTTCAGCAATGTGAATCTGCTTCTCTTCTGTTAACAAGTAGCTAAAATCCTAATGCTGAGCATCCTACCTGCCATGGACACAATTTATTGAGCTCCACAGCCCTATTGATAAAGCGAGCTCCCCTAATGATGAGGCTGCTGGACGATGTGAGAGTTTGCAGCTGCAAAGCACTCCTGCCATCGCTGCTGAAAGAGCTTTGAGGACAAGGAGGACTAGAAGGCCACCGGGCACTGCCAGCCCAAAACTGTGCCAAGCACTGCGCTGCTGCTAAAGGATATAGAGAAGGATGGGCAGCAAGAGAGGAGGACGTCATGGAAAACCCCCAGATTGCATTATCTTTTTTTTTTTATTTTTTTTTTCTCTTCAGAGCAACTAAAGGGAAAATGCTTTTACAGAGATTGCACCATTTGAAAAAAGGATACTGATACATTAATTAAAAAGCAAACCGAGAACTCAACAAGTAGTAGGATGGTTTCTTAAGGAGCTCACATATTACCGAAATATTGACTCACCTGAGTCCAGAGCAGGTACTGAGACTGACTGAGGAGTCGGGGTACCCCCGTACATTGCCGTGGTAATAGCAGTGACCCTGATTGCAAAAAAGAGATAACAATTCAGTAGTCATAAATGCTCTTTGCGCTCCAGTTTTCTCATGGTTTCCCATCCCCTTTATTTCAAAGTGATTATCAATTTCAGGCTACAGCATTCAGAAACACACTGACAGCACCTTTCCTGCCCCAATAAATAGTCCCTGTACTTAACAGTCCAAATAGTTCCTATATGAAAACGTTGAGCTGTTTTATAAACCCCAAAGGGTTGAGGAGGGGTGCATTTTTTTGTTTTGTTTTGTGGGGTTTTTTTGGTGTTTTGTTTTTTTGTGTTTTTTTTTTTTAAGATGGTCAATGGTGTTTAAATTGCATGACTGACCACCCTTTTCTGTGTTATTTAAAGCTACAATATGGAATACTTTATAAAATTAATCAGATGAACAAGTCAGCTGACACATTTCACTACTTTCTAGAGAGATGTATTTCTATTTAAGGTCACTTATATCGATATATGTCTATAAGAGGTAGCTGTGTATAAAAAGGAGTATAAAAAGCCAGTCCCAACCCTATAGTTTGGAAAAAAAAAAAATCACAGAGCAAATGAAGGGGGAAGGGAAACAGGTTGGAAAGGAAACCTTTTATTGAATTACCCAACCGAGTGGCTGCATGTTATTAAGAACAACCAAGAATAAGAGGGTCTTCTGTTTTGAGAGGCAACAATCCAATTTCATTTTGTGGCTAGGTTATTGTATATTTCCTTAATAATCCGCTCCTTGCAAAAGGCACCCACAACAGAGAGACTTTCTCAGCACATACACATATCTGTCTGGAATCAAGGTTAATTTTATTGTTGACTAAAGGTTATATTACATTCCCAATTATGTGACTGGCTGGAAAGCAATGATTGTGTCACGTCCAGCATTTCTTTTCTCATGGCTCCTTTGAACGGCACCTGGAAACTGAAAACACTGTTGTAAAAGGTTCCTATCTTATTAGTGCAAAGGAAAGTTATCATTCACGCTTCAACCTGACTGTCATCTCACCATGCCTTTTTATTACTCGGTTCATTCACATCCCTCTAGCTGCATTAATTAACCTTTTCAGTTTTGGGGCATGGCTTTCACTTTCAAAGCCTCACATAGCAGACTTCTAAAGACCACCTTGATTTTGTTAAAGGAAGCAATAGCCCTGAAAATGCTGGGCAAGATGACACAATTCAGATATGAATTTTCTGCAAATAAGGTTATACCATGAAGAATTCTTGTTTAGAGCATTTGTATTTCCAACATGAGCAACTCAACACAGAACAGCAACATCTGACTTTCTAAATACAAATCTCAGTAGCTTTTTTTCAGGGAAAGGAATGACAGAAACACGGTAATACTTTTTTACTCTTGGGTATTTTTATCATCAGTCCTCATAAAGAGTCAGTAACACATTAGCAAGGAAAAAACTGCAACAGAAGGGAGGAAGTCATAGACTGTTTTTTTGTGATGATTGCTTCAATCACAATTGCTACGGACATCAAAGTTTTCAGTGTGAGTGTACTATTTCACTTTATTTTAATATCATCAGTTACATGCATCCAGTTGATAAGAAAAAACAGCCTCGGTACCGACTCTCATACAGTGACCTTGAAACAGTCTAAAATCAAAAATAAAATCGGTTTATTCTCATCACTTTAAGTAAGTATAAGGCAGAGGTGCCGCTCAGAGCTCTTAAGGCGGCAGCATTTGGGGTTTAGCATCACCAGTGTTAAGCACAGTCCTCGGTGAAATGGGGAGGACAAGATGATATCTTGTCCCACACAGGCTGCTGCTGCAGTCTAACTGTCTTTATCAAAGAGTGAATTATGGCAAAGGTCCTGATTTCTTTCCCTCTCCACATACAACTTGTCATTTTATTAAGTTTGAGCTCCTTGTTGTGGCCCATTTCACAACTTCTCTGAGATACACATGCTATATGATGCCAAAGTTCAATACCGAAACTGTAAACTTATCAGACCATGGCCTGCAATTGGACTGGTAGAAAATTGATTTCTAGCTCAGTAACTCCACTGAACTGCAGGATTTTTTTTTTTCTCCTACCACATTTTTTTTTATTCCTGTAAACTAGTATACAAAATGGATGACCCTGTAAAAACAAATAATTACCATGGCTGATTTGTCATACTTAAAACAGTACTCTACCCTTGGTTGAGATCATTAAATAAATACCAGCTTTTGACAACTGCAACTTTTTCAAGTGTTATAAACCAGAAAAATAACCTAGACACTGACTCATGTGCTAGAGAAACTCCCCAAAGGACAGCTCCACAAACCTGACTTGGTTTGACCTCCAAGCAGAATTTGACTAAGCAACTTTTCAATGGGAAATTGGATTTGGCTTCAACTGCAGACTATATTGATGTCCTCGGTGAAGAAGAGATATAAAAATAAAATCACAGAGACTTATCTTTTTTAAACCATACTGCAGCATTTAATGAAAAATGAATTCACTGATCTCTCTCTCAAAAAAAAATCTTTTAGGCAGCAAAATGCACTGTCAGTATTAATAATGACTTACTGCCTTTATGAAAACATGTATTTCTTTTAGTAAGGGAAAGCCTAGCTATCATTAGCTGTACACATATTCATGTTAACGTAGGTTAATCTGTCAAAGACTAGTGTGCTTCATTTCTTGCCTTTTACATCCTTCAGGAATCTATACACCCTTCCTTTTTTCTAAAAAAAAAAATACTATTTTCTACTAAGTTGATTTTGAAGAAGATATGAGCATCCAGCAACAAAGAAAACACTGAAAGCTTTCAAAATGATTCCTTTACTTGGGAGGTCTGGAGCTATATTGAAGATGCTCTTTCAGAAGTAAGACACTATGCACAGAAATAATGCCTTTCGCCAATACCAGCAAAGCCCATTATGCATGGGAACCCAAAGCACGTTGCCTCTTCTGACAGTGCCAATAAATAAATAACGTAACATAACAAATACTTTATAGGACTTAGGCAGATAAAAGATAAACTTTGTAATTAAAATCACATGCTGCATTGTTTCTAATTAAGGCATTCATACTGTCAGAGGAGGAAACCATTACTGCCTTAAAGCATTTTTTATTTATGAAAAGCAGCTTTAAATTACTGATTTTAACAAGGATCAAATTAGCCATATACTTAAATATATATATACATATACACATATATATGTATAAAGTATATACATAACAGTCTTATGGTCTGGATTAAAAAATAAACCCAACCAACCCATCCCCTCTCCCAAACCTCAGACATGGTTTCCCCAATGCAGAAGGACACCCAAGCCTTCAAAGCCTCTGATGTGAGCTTCTGCACTATGGAAATCAGATATTTAAGGGCTTTCTTCCTAACTGAGCCAGGACTTTCCTCCATAACTGATCAACAATGGCAGCGTTTATTATAAAATTTTAATGGTTATATTTCCAAGAAGCTGACTAAATCTTACAGATTTTAAAAGTCATCTGGTTGAAACCCCACAGTTTTCCTTTAAATTCTCTCTCTAAAAATTCATGTGTAGGATCACAAGAGTCAAAAAGGTACTGAAGGCAACAATAAAAAAAGATCATACATCGAGTTGTTTCATCCCATGGCTCAGATCCCAGCAGAGAGCACTTTGGGTTTTAACGATGAAGCATCATCTACCCACCAACCTTACCGTGTAATTGCGTGCGAGAACCACATGAGTGCCGTCTCTCAAATAATGTGTTTCTGTGAAGCTGCTGGCTAACAGGCCCCTGAAAAAAAAATTAAAAAATAGAGCACACGTAATATTAAGGCCACATCACCTTGACTTTGTCCTTCCGTTGTTCCGTTTGAGACAGCGATCAAAGCCAGGCATTAACGATACAATGACTACTGGGGCTGCGTGCAAAATAAGGAAAAAATATAACTCCAGAACCTGAAGCTGTGGTACATGAACACTTCCTTTGTTAACCGTGAAAGACTACAAGTTTCCAGTCTGCTTTCTCTTCCAAATGAGGACTGCATGCCGGCACATTTCAGTATTGAATCTTCCATGTAATTTTCAACACGTTTTACGTTAAATCTGAAATCTAAGCGATTGGAGTATTGTTAAGTAATGGTGGTTTGTGGAAAAGGAAAATGCTTTCCCTGTGTTATTTATTTTACTATGCAATGTGTTGTGTTCACTAGCAAGTGACCACCCAAAGACTAATTTAGCTCTTGGTAAATGAAACTTCTTCCACAGACACACAAGGAAAAACACTACGAGAACATTACAGAACTTAAAGTACCGGATTTATTCTGATCATCAGAGAAGGATATTCACTAATGAAGATCGAACAACTTGAGAAGATGTATCAGGAGATGGTGAAAGATCATGTCTGTGATGAGACGTTTTGTTCTCATTCTCTCCACACTTCCCCTCCTACATTTGGCAATGATATAAAAAATATTGACTTGCAATTTTCATTTTCCAGAAATCTCTAGGGACGGGCATGTGCATGACAGCTATGAAAACATATTCACATTTACTTCTAAAGTAGGGCTTAAGCTATGCTTCTCAACACAAACGTGCTTTGGTTTTCACAAAACATTCTAGTGAAATGCAAAAGCGTAACGCAGAAGATTCCAAAGATGAATGCCACCACCACCTTCAGAAAAATGGGGAGTTTGGACTATCAAATGTCTTTAGCACACCATTTCACAATATTCTTTTTGTTCCACTTCAAAGACATGTTTCTCCCTTGGTTTTTCATTTGAACAAAGCAGGCCCTTTCTTTTATTTAAAGGTGGTTAATGCTGCACTCCTGCATATACACTAGGGTGAACTAGTTCACAGTCTCAGTACACATTTCTTGGACTTTATATAAACATTAAAACTAGAACATGAACAAGCTTTTAATTTTCATTACTGATTTATTTGCAGCACATTAATATCCAATGGCTCAGTCACAGGCAGGACCTGGCTGTGCTAGGAACAGTGCAAACACTTATTAGAGAGAAAAGCCGTCTTTAAAAAGCCTCTGTCTTAAGGTAGAAGAAAACAGATGAATGGAACAAGACTAAAAATAAATTAAAAAAAAAGAAAGAATAAAAAGAAGGAAGTAGAACATAAAAAGATGAAGATAGTGAAGCCCCAACACACCGAATATTCAAGCACGGATCCTCACTTCACATTTTTCAGCTTGTGGGAAATATGATCATATTAATAGATGTAGTGTTAAAACACTGCAGCATCTGGTGGGTTGTACAGGAGCTGCTCTGGATCTCATCCAACCACCACACCTAGAGCAGGATTTGGTTGCCCAACCAAGCATCTAGTGTTGATTTAGATTATGCATTTCACCACCCAGCTCCGTCAGGACACCTCATCCCCCCTGTTGGTGTCTTGGACAGCACTCGACGCCAACGTCTATCTCACCTCTTCTGTCTGCAGCCTCTAGAAGGCCTGTCTGAAACAACACGTGCTGTATCCGTGTTTCCTACTGTCTCATTATCACAAAGAGCAGCTGCTTTCTTAATTATCATTTTATTTATATAACAACACTGCTAAGTTCTGCATTTAGCAGGCCTTAATTACCTTTGCAAAGGCAAAAGGTAAGATCCAATTATTGCTGAAACCAACAGAGTTCTGCTGTGTGCTTTTTGGAAATGGGATTTCATACAAGATACTGGAACAATTTTTATTTAATGGGACAGGGTAACAGATGTAGCATAAGGGCAAAGCGATTGAACAATATACTCGCTTTGTGCTCTGCTATTTCCAAAGTGTTTGACAGCAGTGATGATAAAAGTGACCTTTCTGCTTCTGTTCATTCTACCCTCAGGCACAGGTTTAGAAAATATTTCATCGATTCACAGATTTTAATACCAGAAGGGAGCGCTGTGATCAGCAATCTGACCTGCTGCATTACATAGGTCATTTGACTTGAATTAATCTTCTAGTACAAGGACCACGATGGAACCAGATCCATTTCCTTGCTGTATAGAGCCCTTGTCTAGATCTCCCAAGATTAAGAAGCTATCATAAGCCTGGTAAGTTATACCATTAAGCTCAATGTAAAAACTTTGTGTCTAGATTGACTGCGTCAACATTCAATCTCCAGCCACTAGATCTCATTCCCTTACCTCAATGCTCCATTTTCATTCACGTCTTTCATGGACAGTTCTATGTATTAAGTGAGGAAATATAGCAAATTCCTGGTGTGGCTGTCATCTATCAGGATGAACGCTTGCTCTCTACCCTGATGAAAATACTGGCTGAACATAAGAATTCCCAGTGTGAGTAGTAAAAGACTGGTAAGAGCACCAAGATGATGGAGTCCCACTATTGGACTAACCTAATAAAATGAAAAGTATGCCCCAATGTAGAAGCCAAAGTAGAATTTCAGATCATGGAAATTTCTTGTACCACTGGAGGACATTTTTAAGGAAACGAGAAAGTTTTTCAGGAGTCTGCATCCCTCAGTTTAGTAACTAAGACATCAATGGCAAGACATCTGTTTTCCTGCCACGTACGGTGCTAGTGCTAGTTTGAGAGCAAGCCAGAGGAAAGGCTTTCTCCACACTGTAGAGGCTGGGGACCTCTACAAGACACGTTGCCAGGGAGCCCAACAATTTCTGGCAGAGAAAGAAGCTGTTAACCCCGCTTTCAAAACGTCTAATATCTTAAAAGCTGTATAGCCATATAAGCATGAAGCATTCGTATCCAGGGACAACACGTCATGCAAAGGCATTTCTTGAAAGGTTATGAAAACTAAGTGTAACAAGCACTCAAATTCCACAACTGAGTGTGCACCACTTCACTTTCCAATTATGGCAATAATGTTTAACATACCAAACAATGAATTTGACGTATGTATCTATTAGGCAATTTAATTACCCCGTCCCCCCCTGTCCCCCAAAGATATGCAATGTAATAGATTGATTTACATTTCTGGTTTTGACCCACGGTAAAAGAGATTAATAGAGGAAAGTAAATTAATTTAGATGGCAAGCTACTTAACCTAATTGGATCAATGTAATTCTGAAAGAGCAGAGATCAAAATAGCATTAATATATCACAGTGCAATTCATCACCACGTCTGGAGTTTCAAATGTTGTCAGCTACAACGCTCAGCAGTACCAGATGATTATCAATTTTTGCGCTGCATGAAGAGACAGAAACAAATGCTATTGCGAACTGCATCAACTGCTGAATGTGATTAAAAAAAAAAAAATCAGTTGAAACAACACCACAACTTTCTCACTTATTCTGTGAAGATGCAAAAGTGCAATTCTTAAGTTAAATTACTTATGCTTGTCAGCACCACAGATTTTTTTTGTTTTTCCCAGAGACAAATTAACAAGTAGAAGGTTTGACGGCCCAGAAGGACGTTTTATCCCTCCTGATCTATGACAGACACAGCACAGGCTTCCTCATCCTCTGTAAATCAGTAGGAAGCTTCCCTGTCAGATTTGCTGAACCATTTTCAGGTGTCAAGCAGCTTCCACTAACCTAAGCCTCAGGGAATATCATGAATGTTATTTAAACTTCTAACTCTCACCTTCCCACCCCCTTGCAACATGAAGTCTTAGGTGGTTGGTTTGGGGTGGGAGAAAATGTCCTGTTTTAAACACAGCAGATCTTTTACTCAATCCATTTAATGACAGGAATGGTAATTTAACACACTGCCTCTCACTTGCAAATGAGAAAATCAGTCCCTGCTCTCCAGGCACCAATATATTATTTCAAAAGGTTATAATGATATTTCATCACCCAGGGAGAGTCAGAAAGACAGACTTGTGGAAGTAAGAGATGGAAAAAATCTAGTGGATCACACAGACGGCCTCCCTGGAAGCCAAGTATGTTATAGATCGTCAGGTTCTGTCTCACTGAGCTTCAAATGCCAGAAGCAATGCTGATCCCACCACTTTCAAAGGGAGTTTACTTTGCATTCCAACAGACGTGACTGTCGTGATGCATTTCCTGATATTCAGCCTTTTCTAGCCTTTCCCAGTTACACTTCTTCCACTAGCTGAAACAATTGCTTTCCCTTCATATATCACTCACGTAAGTGCAGATTATTATCAAATCTCCCTTAACCATCCACGTGCCAAGTATAGAATATCAGGCTATAAAAACCCCGACAAGAACTGTGTACTTTTCATGTTAGAGCTACCGAAAAAAATCTAAGCATTGTCACAGTGGGAGCAGACACCAGGATTTCCCTTGGTGATATAAGAGAAACTAGTAGACAAAAGCCTAAGGAGCAAATCTCTAATCGCACACAGGCTTGTTTTTCGATCCGTCTTTTAGGATAAAATTTCTTTGCCTGCCCTCCCTGCTCCAGGTCATCCCCCTGCAATACAGATAGAAGGGGGAAGGCTCCAACATTGTTATCCATCAAAAGAGATTTATAAGTCTCTTGGAGCTGCTCTGTGAGACTGAAGTGACACTCAGCAACCGAGATTCAACGGCTCTGCTTTAAAGCCAAACAATGTGATGCCTGGATGGTCTGGTACATGTTTTGTCAACACGCTGGGTGGTGCGTGGCTCACCGTTACATGTCTCAGAAGAACTGTGCTTTGCTCTGGCATGACATGGAGCATAAAACTTGACCTTTGCTTCAGCAGGGAATCAGGGTCAGCAGAAGAGACCCAAGTTTTTACAACAATAAATGTCTGCTTATGCTAGCACTGGCTGGCTGTTAGTGCTAGTGAGTGAGCAAGGACCTGGGCTGCTTCTCTTGGGCACCCAGCCTGAACCCACCCGGCAATCCAGGGAATGTAG